AATTTAAGATAAGGATTATTCAAACATATATATTAATATTATCTTATTTAATAAGATTTTATTACAACTCAATAATTTTTAAATTTTCATTTACATATTTTAAATTTATTAGCCATAAATTCACATTTCGAGTAAAAATAATGATTAACATTTTATATTTATTTTCATTTTTTTAAGAAAAAATGTGAAACAGTAGTAAAAAAATTAATTATTTTATACAATTTCATTTTACCAAATTATTTAAATTTATAGAAAACTTATTTCTTGTAATTTTTATAAAAAAAATTATAAAAATATTCCTATAAAATATAAGAATTTTTGTAATGAAAATGCAATGATATGTTAGAACTTAAAAAAAAAAATTTGTTCAGTTTTAACTTATTTTACCTGTTTTCTTAAAATCAAATTTATGATTTATTTGGACTAATCACACGACAAATTTTCTATTTTTTAAAAAACACAGATGAAGGTGAACAACCCTTGTAATAGGTTTTTCAGACAGTTGAAAGTTGCGTCGTGAATAGTTGTAGTAAGAGAATAACCCTATTTTTGTATTTTAAAAGCCTGGCCCAAATACAATCTTAGGCTAGTGAATACTTCCAAACCATGTTGGGTCTTAATAGCAAGGGAGGAGAGTCCCAATAGAAGCCCATATTTGAACACTTCCAAACCAAAATTATAAACACTAATCGGGTCCAATTTATAATTACTATATATAATTAAAAATAAAATATTTACATTACCATCAAAATAGGTACTTTGGAATGCAAAAGGTGGTACAAGATTTTTACATGTGTACAAAGAAATATCCGTCCCATTTCACGCTTCTTCTCACATTCTCATTTTCTCAAGATAAACTTTATCTTTCTTTTGCAAAATCACCCAATTTCAAGTGATTTTTTACACAAATCTCTCCCAAAAAATGTATTTGTTAATTAATTTAAGAGTGATTTTAAATTTCATAAGCAACTAACATGTAAGGATATATAATCTATAACATAATGTTTTAAGTTGTTGAATTAAGAATAGAATAGTGTTGTTGAATTAAGAATAGAATAGTGTTAATCTTTATGTAAGTTAAATTTATGTTTCATATTGTTTCTCTTCTATGTAATAATAATTTTTTATCGCCTTGAAATTTTGAGTTGGAAGTGAAATGATATTAATCTTTATGTTGATTTAATTTATATTTTATTAGTGATATTTCTCTCCTATACATTAATAATTTTTTATCACTAATTCAGGATTACATTTTCATTAATCTACTTTATTTATATACTTTATAAGGAATGACGTATGTTGAGACATTAGTGCACTAAGTCCAACAAATACAAACTCATATAATAATATTATATATAATTCTTTCAGCTTTCATACTTTTTACAATATGATTTAAATTAATCTTTTCCAAATCATTTACCCATTTTGAGAGAGAGTTATTTTACACTTAAAAAAAATCTTGGATACTTTCTTATTTTGAATCTTTGATGAATTACTTGTAAAAAAAAAAGATCTTTGTTCTTCACTTCCATATTTTGAATTTATTTTGTACTTGTTGATTTTAACGTGATACATTTTCAATTGTATTATGTTAAACACTATTTATATTACACTTTCTAATTAGGGTTTTTAATTTTTTTTGACAGGGTATTACTAATTTTGGTAAGAGTTGTTCTACAACTGGCTTGATTTCTTCTTCGTGGTTTCTGGTTGATATTAAGGAATTCACTTTCAAATCTTTAATGTATTTATTATTAGTTAAACCAATAAAATGTTTCAAAAATGTTTTAAAATTCAATTGTCTCCCTTTTCTAAATTAAGCGGGGTTAAAAAAAATGTAACTCTTGTAAATGAAAAAAAAAACATTAACATTTATAAAAAAACAATCTCCTTGTTTTTGAGCCACTTATAACATTGGAATGTTGAAATTAAAGGGCTTATGTATTTTTATGTTTATTTATCTTTTGATTTTTTTTTCCAAATTAGTCAAATAGATTTATTATTGCAATGCATCCTATACTTTAAAGGTTACTTCATTATCATATTTTCTCGTTATTTTTTGGATAAATTATTTTAGTTAATCGTGAACGGATAATTATCGATGAATATATAATTGTCAAAAAATGATTAATTATTTATGAAAATTATTGAGTGATTACCGACGGATATATTCGTCCATAAATCAATAAATTAGTTTTCAACGAATATATCCGTGAATGAATTAACAAATTAGTTTTCAACGAATATATCTCGTTGGTAAATATTTAAAATATATAAATATATTTATATATAAATATATCAAAATATATAAATATATCAATATATTTATATTTATATATTTTATATTTATATATTTACGCAGATATACATTTACTTATATATAAATAAAAATATAATTTATTTGTAAGTTATTATTAAAAAATCATAATAGTTAAGTGATTAGAATATCAATCTTCAATCCTAAAGTATTGAATTTCTGCCATTGACAATTTTTTTAATTTGATAATAAATATAAATCACATCATCAACCTTATGATTATATTTAAAAATAAAACAATAAACTATATATATATATATATATATATATAAATTTTCAAGTTAATGTTCATATTTGTATATGTTTTCTCTTCTGTTTTGAACTAATATCACAATTTATTAACAAAATTTCATATTAATGAAACAAAATACTTAGGTTTGGTAAGTACAGATTAAAATTAAGTTCTTATCTATCAAATAAGAATAATTAGCATTGTGTTAACATTATTATGATTTTTATTCTAATTTAAATTGATTTAAGTGATAGGTTTTGTGTAGTATAAATTTAAATATTTTTAATACATTTTTTATGTAATATGTAAATTTTAGAGATTATTATGTTAATATATTTTAGGTATATTTTTCGGTGTATATTTGTAAATTCTTTCATTCATTTAATGGGTTAAGACTTTTGTATATATTTAATTGTTTTCTATCATTTTACCCACTAATATTTAATTTATTAATATTTATGTTAATATAAAATTATTGTTTATTATTATTTTTTGAAGGGAAAATACTAGTTCCAAATATGAGCAAGTGTAATTAGTAATTCTTTTAATAATGGTTTAAGATAATATGTGTTTTGAATTTTTGTAAATATTTAAATATATTAAATAGTATTTAAAAATAATATTATTTTTTCCTCTACAATTGAAATATATATGTAGATATTTAGTAATAATGATAATTAACGGAAAACTGCTGTGTGAAGATTTTAACAAGTTAATTTTACAATTAAATGAGATTTTGGCTCTATATATCTTTCAAATTATGTTATAAAAAATATATTTAGATTTCAGAAAAAAAAATATATATTTGAAGTTAATGATAACTATAAAAATCTTATTAATTACAACTCCTGTTCGTTTTTTCAATGAGTTAAAATATCATTACGCGACGAATAATAATTATTAAATATTAATTAAATTAGTAGCATTCATAATAAATTATAATTTTGAGTTTATTTATTTTTGCAAGCGATAAATTGAAAGTAAGAAAAGACACGCGGATACGCAACTTCTAAAAAAATTAATCTTAGGCACAAGTTTCTATTTATACTCTATTTTTAAAAAAATATATTTCTTTTAATAAAAAAATATTTTAAAATATATGTCCGTAAAGTTTAGAGTTATATTAATTATATTATTATTTTTTAATTATATTTATTAAAAAAATTGAGATTCATTTTAAACAAAAAATATTAAGTTAATAAAGATATTAATAAAAAAATAACAAATTTATAAAAAAATAATAATTAATATTTATCTTATTTTTTGCAATCTAATTTTAAATATTATATATTTTAAAATCTTAAATTTAAATAAATAAGAATGTTTTCTAAATTTTTATTTTATTAAAAAACAATTTCAATCTAATTAATTATTAAAATAATAATTTTATACATGTTAGAAGAATTTAAAAACAACTAAAAAAAAAGAAAATGCTAAACATTAACAAGACGCTTTACCTTTTTCTCGACGCAACCACAACATAACGTGGTGTTTAATTTGACTTTAATGCATATCCATTAATTTCTTAATTACAAATTATAACAATTGTAAAATAGTAATTATTAGTGTTGTTGAACGATATATTTAGAAGGTTAAAAATTTTCAATACTGTCACTATATATCAAAAGATTTAATATCCGAAATAACTAATATTTTAAAATATCAAAAATTATTAAATTATATTATTTATTCATTTTGATAACAATGTTTTGTTTAGAGAGTGAACATATAAAAAAATAATTTTAAAAAGTAAAAAAAAAGTAATTTTATTTTTAATAACGATTTAAAAATATTTATTATATATAATATCAATTAAATAAAATAGATATTAATTATAAAAAAGAAATATTTTAAAACTAACTATTTACTAAAAAATTACAATATAGACCATAATGTTTTTATTTAATACGCATTCTCTCTGAAGAAAAAAATAATAATCATTCAAATAAAATATATAAAAGAAAAAAATGAATGGTTTTCTACCTAAAAGAGTAGTGGCTTCGAAGTCAAAGACACATCCTATAAAACCACAACCGAAAAACCTTGGACCCACTAATTAATGGATAAAAGGATGGCTTCTTTTAATTACCCGCCAACTCGTACTATTAACTTTGTCGAAAAAATAATGTCGTAATTAGGAAATTTTTATTGATATTTAAAAAATTTTAATTGGTATTTTTAAATATTTTCTATCACATTTATATAAAAACCAAAATTGTATAAAGAAAAGTTGAGAAAAAAATAAATATTAGGAGTATAAAGTTGTTGTATTAGTAAAATGAAGAGGATCTCTTAGTATTTTGATGAAAAATAAAAAGTAAAAATTCTTATGCATATCATATCATATCTGCTGTGGCGTGCAATGACATAGGCCTAATAAGAGGACAGAAACACCGTCTTCACATCATATCCAAAAACATGAAACCACATGGCCTTGTCACATAATGAGCCATGAAGTCCCAAAATACGAACACTAGAGAGGGACCCACTCTCCACCCTTCTGTGGTAAACTTTCCCCACCAAACAGAAAACAATCCCTTTGAGGATTCAATTTTCTAATGAAAGAAACAAACACTACCACGTAAACTGAAATTGGATGACACGGCCACATAGGAAATTGAGTTTTAGGGTTCCACTCTAAGCATAGTAGGACAAATAGTTTGTTAATTAGGTTGGTGTCGAAGCAATTGAAGAAGCAGATGAAGATGGGAACCATGGACTAGACCATCCTCGTGAAATGCCCTTCACGTTCCTCACAAAGGTTCTGCGATTTTCTAAAAAATGTATTGTTTTACATAACCCAAGTAAAAGGGGATTAAATTTTTTTGAATATAGAATCGATGTAGAAGTTGAAAGAGAAAGAGAGAAGTGATTTGAAACTATCTATATAAGGAAGCAAAAGCTTTGTGCATAAAGACACGTCGCGTTCGAGAGGGCCAACCTTATCAGCTTATCCACTTTTGTTTGTTGAAGATGACATTCTTCCCACTGCAACTTTGATTATGCCATGCATGCCCACTTCACTGGATCAATCATGGGGACCCTCCTTCTTCTTTTCTTTTCAAACCATCCAACTTTTAACACCCTTCTGTAAATCCATGGTCAGTAGTTAGAGCCTCTTTCTAACTCCCACTTAATTATTTCAAACCTACATCTATATACTATAGTTTTTAAAAGTTGAAGATTATGTTTCTCTTTCCAATTAGCGTCTCAAGGGCTAATTTTCCCTAACCCTATCTACCTTTTTAGAGTAAACAAGTTTACCATTAGATGAATCTGATGGTATTTTTTATTTACTTACAATTCAAGTGGTATTTCAACTCAGCACTAAATTTCAACTCTTTGTCTATATTATATACACAGTCGTATGGAATCTTATCATTACTGTTACATTAATAGCAACCATCACTCGGTTTATGATAAATATTGTTTTAAAATATATCCATCATTTTTGTTTGTAAATCGATTCTAATGAAAAATTTCTTCAAAAACATGGTTTGTTCTACTTAAAAAGTCAAAAATCATTTTGTTGGGGGAGTCTCTCATTCAATTTTTCAGTGTTGTAAATACAATTTACAAGGTGATTTGTGAAGTTCCAACTTCGAATTTGGTATCAATAAGTTTAAAGTTCTAAATCATTCAAGTGTTGTAGTTTTAGTCATTTAATCATTTTTTTTACTTTAACATTATGTTTTTGTATATTTTATGAGATTGATTTAAATCAATATAATTTTTAGTAATTGTGTGTAAAATTACCAAACTTCGATTTAAATTTTCAAAATTGACCTAATTTCCTATGTTTTTATAATCATCCAAGAACTCTATATTTAATTATATACAAAATCATTTTACTAAACACGACTTCTAAAAAATAAATTTGAAAGTTGCGTAGCATTTTGAAACACTTTAAAAAATTATACCTAAAAATACAAGGTCTTTAATATTTGTATTTTTTTTTATTTTGCTAATTTTATTTTAAATTATCTCCCAAACTTTAAAAAAGTTAGAAGCTGTATTTCCATTCACCCTCTTCACATAAGCACTGTTTTTGGGTATTTCATGTTTGAAAACATCATTCAGAGAATTTAATAAACTATAATCAGATCATGAAAATATAATTTTTATTTACTGTCGTTAACTTATAAATTATAAAATATAGCATGGTGAAAAAGTTTATATGATCGCTCTAAAGATATTGTCTGAGATATTTTTAATTAATAATAAACCTTTATTCTTAAATTGCGAAAAAGTTAAAGGCAATTTGATATTGAAAGAAGATACTTGTGTTTCTTTTTTCAAGGATGAAATTGCAACGGGAAATTTTCCTTTACCGTGAGAAATACTCATCCCATAACGTTTTTCTTCTTTAGTCATTTTCCATTCCAATTCTTGTGCCGGACGTCACATTCCACAGACATATTCACGCCTTTGCCATTCATAATTTTATCCAGTCACTGCCATGGAAAGGGATCCAGCTTGGTGTCTCAATCCTCTTAACCAGTGAGGTGAGTGAATCATTATATTCATGGTGAAGGTAATAATCCTGTTCTTGGACCCAACCTAATCCCGTTATGCGTTATCTTGTTCCGTGATGCCTCTCCCACCTCGCCACCAAAATATATTCCCTGCAAAACAAACACTACAAACAATTATTTAATATCACACCACCAAGCATAAAAAGCAGATCAAATATTATATCTTATTATATACATACATACATATATATATATATATATATATATATATATATATATATATATAATATGATATAATAACTGAAAAAAAAAAAGTAACGGGTACAAAATACGTATTCACACAAAGCAAAGATGCAGAGGAACAGTATAATGAAAAATATAGGCGAAACAAACACTTTCGAAAACGCGCACGAAGTTGATGAAATACCACGGAAAAGTTTATGAAAAATGTCACGTCGCGATAGAAAGGAAAAACTTAAGAAAATAAAAAATAAAAATAAAACAGGACAAAAAAGTGAAACAGAGAAGCCATAGAACTGGAAAAAAAATTGAACGATCAAGAAGATTTGTTATAAACCAAAATTTTGCATGGATCTAGTTGTGAATTTTAATTTAGGATTAGTGGTTTGTTTTAAATTTTGAATGAAAATTGTTTTCCATAAAAATAGGTCCAGAAGCTGCTCCATGAATGGCCATCAATGGCTGCAACTGATTAATATAAGTTCTGTATTATATACACACAGATACACAGGCACAGACGAAGCACATAATCAGTTTTCGTTAGATTTTAAAATCGCGCAACCATCAGATCTCAAGCCAATTCGGCGGGATCCGTCGCCACCGATGTCGCCGCCGTCCGCGGTGGTCAGAAACAATGGAGGTAGACAAAGCGTCGTTCAATTCAAAGTTCCTCTGCTTTAGTCATGACGGAGAGCCTGCTCGGCCTCGGGTGAAAGTCTCCACGCCGTCTCTGCTGATGAGAAGAAGGTCGAATCAACGCGGAGAGAGCTCGCTTGACGAGATCTCCCTCGACGCCACGGATTCTCACGAGCGAGTTAGTCATCGCGGATCTGCGCGCGTTGAGGCGATTTGGCGAGTACGGCGCCGGCACGTGGCTTTTCTTGTGGAGGCTGCAGCGGAAGGAGCCAGGGTGCGTAGTAGGTGAGCACATGCACGTCCGCTTCGGCTGGTGCGGGTTAATGCTTCCCTGTCTGGACGCGCCGGTTCGCGGAGCGACCGCGATGGAGCGGTTCGGGGAGACGGAGCGGTCGAGAGAGAACCGCACAGAGGGAGCAGAGGAACCGTAGAGGTTGACACGTGTGGGAGAAGAAGAGCGGTGAAAAAAGGTGGTTGGACGAGAAGAGAAGCTGGAAGTGGAAGAGGCAAAAGCTGATGAAGAAGAAGAAGAAGGAGGAGATGATGTAGTGTGAGAGTGAAAGTGAGAGTTGTAGAACCTAGGGGTAGAAGAGAGGGATCCAATTACTGCGCTTCTTGATTTTCTAGAAGCTGCCATTTTTTCTCTTGCGAAGTATCTCTAGAAGAGAGGGAAACAGAAAGAGAAGGGATTTTCTTTTCACCCTAAAGGCCGGGTTCGGCTCTTCGGTTTGGCAAACCTAGCTTTACTCTAACTATGTATATATAGAATTTTGAAGATGAGCAAAGGGTAGTATGTGTATGCATGAGTGTGTGCCGTGTGGGAATTTCTGTTTGGGGTATTTACTTTGTGGAATTGTATTGGTGACCCCTTTCATTCTTGTTCTTGTTTTGGTTGCGTGTCCCTTTGTTATAGTCTCTTTTATTGAATTACATTTTTTTTCTAAACACATTTATTAATTGAGATTAATGTTGAAAATGATTAGGCTAATTAAAACAAGAAAAATTTGCTTTGAAAATCCACTCTTACTAAAAGAAAGCAAAGTAGAAGGATAGAACAGCAAAAGAGAAAAAGTAGAGTGTAGAGGAACGGTTAACCAGAAGGTGGGGTTGGGTTGGGTTGAGTTAGTTAACCAAAAGTGTTGAGGAGCCCTCAGAATTGCAATCCAACGGCTTTGAGTTTCACAAAGCTATGGGCGGCACTGCCTTTAATAATAAAAAACGACAAAAAAAAATATAAAACCGTTTTAATTCCACTGACACATCTTTTACACCTCCCCTCCTAAACACCTATCCTTCTGCCACGTAATACTGTCACTTAATCCACCCCACTTTATGTCCCCAAACTACCCTCTTCATTCTTCAGTTTTCCCTTTCAAACCAAAGAATCACTCACTGTTTAACTGTCACATTTTTTATTATTTTAATATTCTGTTTAAATTTTGTTAGAACCACTCCATTTTACCTCTCATTCTTTCAAATTAGTTTAATATTTAACCAATTATCCTGTTAAAAATCAGTTTCCGATATCTGTCTTTGATTTTTTTAAAATATATTATAAAAATTGTTAAAAAAAATTATATTCTTCTATCAAAAAAATGAATTATATTAAAATTTAATATTTTAGTCAAAATTACCCTCTTACAAATTAAGAAATAAATACCCAAAGATATTGATAATTTTATTTAGTTTGATTTTTTATTAAATAACTAGTCACATCAAACATACAATTAAATATCTTTTCGTTCGATTTCAATAAGCTTAAATATTTTGTTATTATTCAATTTTTATATAATTTTAAAATAATATTAATATTTTAGTTTAAAAATTGTTAAATGAAATTTTTTAAAATAAAAATTATATTGTAAAAAATAATTATTATTTCAAAATAAAAATTTATTATCTTATTTTTAGTAAACATAAACATATTTAAATAAAATACAAATAATCTTATAAATATATTTTTAATTAATATAATTATATTTATTAGTTACTAATTAATTTAAATATAATAAATGATTTGATTCGATATTTATTTTTAAATTTCAATTCCAAACTAAATCTACCTATTTTAGAAAAAAATTAATAATAGAAATCAATAAAAAATTAATTTTATCAATTTTTTTTTATTAATTTCCATTTTTTTAGCAGATTGATTTTGATAGTTTCTAAAAATAATAATTTATTACTCACAATTGAAACACTTTTATAATTGTATAGTTGATAATTGGTTTGAATTTGTTTATCAGTCATAATTGGAAAGAATAGTTGTTGAATTAAAAAAAAAAAAAGAGGAGAATTATATAGAAATCGTTTAATTGTTATATTTTGAATATATTTAACACAATTTAGTTTGATGATTGAAATTATAATCAGAAAGAACAATGCAAAATGGGGGAAATAAATTTTAATTTGTGAGTAACATATACTTAGAGTAGTATATAATAATCAATCTTACTTTGTTTTTTTCTCTCTTATTGTTGTGTCTAGTCAGATAATTGTTTTTATAACAATTTTTTCCTTCTTTCTTCATTAATTCAATATTATGTGAAGTAAAAAATATGGTTAGAAAAACACTCATCAGCACTTAGTTCAATTATTTTTCACATATTTTTGAATTATCTCTTATTTTATTAAATTTACATTTCACTTTTTATAATATTTAAATACTATGTTTTAAATTATAATGATCTCATACACTAATGGTATAAAATCATCCTATGACATATTGTCATATTTTGTTATGATTTTTTTTTTTCAAATTATTGTAAAAACTAACAAAGTCGTCATTTATGAGGGTTTAAGATTGACACATAGTATAATTTATCTATTTTTATAATAGGACACTATGCATAAGAGGCAAAACTTGTTCTTAACAGAGTAAAACCTTACCAAAGAAAAGAAAAAAGAAAATAAAACAAAACTACTTAGTTAAGGATGTTACGTGCGCGAAGATACGTGAATGCCTATAAATGGACATCACTGTCTTGATGTTCTTTAGTGAAAAATTGTCTATTTTGTACATTTATAAAAATTTTGGATTGAATTGAAGTTGAAAGAGTGAATTAAACCAATCAGAGTAGTAGTATGTTTGAACAATTATCAGCACAAAAACCAAACTAGGACCCTCCTTATGCAAAGACAAACCTCCACCACCAAAATAGGGTTTTGACAAAGTAGACACATGGGTCATGGGACTCTTATTTATGAAATTTGTTGATCTCTATGCAAATTGCTGAAAGGCAAGTTGGACCAAATACAGAGAAATGATGATCAACCCTAGCCAGCTGCATCACACATGACACTGAAAGTTTCCTTCCTCTTTTTTTCAAATCTTGGAACATTCTCAATTAAAAATATTACAAAACAAAGGACAAAGAACGACACGTAGTTAATTGGAACACTGAATATTGAATTGCTGAGGCCTCAAATTCATGTGGATGAATTTCAGCAACAACCACAATACGCCTTTATTAGCCAAATCCAAGCATGAAAATTAGACCAATCTTTTTAGTTTTGAGTATGACAGTGTCGTGGAGGAAAAATCCTTCCAAATTTGTGGTCTCCAAGCCAAAAATAAAACGTGTTACGTGGATGATTTCTAGGGCAGGGAATAGGGTGGTACTAGAATTTTTCTGTACCAGTTCCATCATTAATTTAAAATAACGAACTACTAAACACATTTTTTCTATTACAAACATGGAGTAGTGTGATTCACCCACTTACTAATAGTTTATTTTTAAAGCAAAAAATTAGTAATTAATAATATTTTAAGAACTTCTTATCCATGATTTTAGAAATGCAAACCCAGTAACGTGAAGCTTGAACATCATGATTATGAAGAAAAGTGGCGAAACAAAGCCACCTGTGAATATTTAATTTGCATGTGGTATGAACTAAAATTAAATAAATTGAGTGAATCTCTTGGTAATGAGTTTAGTTTGTAAGGTAATCTAGTGTTCTACTTGAAGATAGACATAAACAGAAATAGTTATCTTAAACAACATGTTTTGTAGTTGTGACATAGGGTCAACGCTTATCTGAAGAACACCATGTTATTGATCTACGGCACGTATCATAGTTCACACATTAGGTGGAATCCACTTCACATTGGCCCCACCATGCTTTCTTAAATCACTGTTAATTGCAGTTTAACAGAAGGGTTAAACTTTAATTGAATGCTTTTTTAACACATTTGTAAGAATTTAGTCAAAATAAAGAATAAAATTTTAACACTCATCCAATTTAAAATAAGCATAGTATGATTTTAACCAGTTTATAGTGTAAAAAAAACATTATTTTGGTAATATGTCAATATTAATACCTAATTTTAAACGTTTAAAAGTGTTAAATTTTCATTGGAAAGAAAGAAAATATTTATTACATTAGTTTTTGTATTTTTATATAATAAATATGCATTAATTTAAATAAAACTAGTACTGTTCGAAATTGGATGAACCAGTCAAAATAGGTGAAGCAAGATGGGGTTACCAAGTCGATTTATTTCACCTTGAAAACTAATTCCATAAAGAACTTTTGTAGAATTAGGTAAAGCAATCTAAACCAAGATAAACCAGTTAAAAACTGATTTGAACAAATTTATTGAGATTTTTTTAATGAAAAAACTCAATATTATAATTATTTTATGTGAAACGAAACAATATTATGATATAATTATATTAATTACATTTATTTTCTAATTATAGTTACTGTCATATATAATTTGTGTTGCTGTTGAGACGTATTTGATAGTTTCATGTTTAATTTTTAATATTTTTGTTATGACATGAGTATGAGTTATGATATTCATAAGTGAAAAATATTTTTTTAATTATACAAATTTATGATAATTGTAATATGATTTAATATATTAAATTAATAAATTTAATTACAAAACTGTTGCATAATTTTTCAATAAAAACTGCCGAGAAAAAGAAATATTATAAAATGACGATAATAAATAAAAAGTTACAATAATTATAAAGGATCTTACAGCAGAATGCAAATGTAGTATGTTTACCCCTTTTGAATATAAAACATTGTACTTTTATATTAGTAGTAATTTAATAATATATGTCATGATAGATTACCATTTACCAGACTCTTGACTCTTCTTCATTGATTAATAAATCTAAAAAAAGTTGATTAATAAGGATGAAGTGGAAGCAATAACAATGGAGTGGCTAGAAAATTGAAAGTTCAATTTGGAAATGTCGACTACAGACATTCATCCATTGATCAAGGTCAGCACGAGCCATTAAAGCTTCAGGGTCCTTTTCCTTTTAAAGAGAAAGAAAGTAAGTGTCCTTCATTTTGTGGGAAGCAGAAATATCTAATAGAAAAATGAGAATTAGACAACAAATTCAAACAATTACGAAGGATTAGATTGATGGGAGAAGAAAAAGACTTTTGAGAAATTCCAAAAAATAAAACATGAAAACAGAAAAATAAAAAAAAAATGGGTGAATGAAAGAGAAAACAAAATTTAAATATGCATCCTATCATGTCTTTTCACACCCAAAATACAGTACGGGGAAGACGAAGTCGCAAAAAACCATCTTATTTGTCTGAACGAAGCATGAAATGAAAGAATGTTATGTCACACTATTTTTCAATTTTCCTAAGAAAGGGTCAATAAAACTTTGCCTAACGCGTATATAGATATGTCTATAGCAACCACCAACTAGCAAGCTTTCAACAAATCTCATAGTAAAGATTTAAGTGTTAAGCAAGAAGATTCGGTGCATTAGACATGAACACGTACCATCACTAGCTATTAATACTTACTCTTGTTTTTAGATTTTTTTTCCTTACCTTGTTTTTGTAAATGATGTAATTGGACAGAATAATATTTTAACAGATCCACTTGTGTGGTAGCTAATTGATAGCAAGAATATTGAAATATTAGCTTTGGTAATAGAATCGTGTGGTCTTCTTTTCAACAAGAGTGGGGTGGTGGCACATGCAAGAAGTTTTGAACTTTTGGTTCCAATTATTGGTAGAGAGAGTTATGTTGCGGCTAGCAAGCAGTCATCTTTTCCCAGGTCAAGGGTCAACTTGCTTTAGCTTAACCTCTTCATGTTCAAACTTTATCAATCATATTTTTTCAAGTCAAGGTGTTTTTCAATTCATTAATAATTAATATTTATTAAAATATATGATCGGTCATTTATATATCTCTTTACATTTCATATTTTCTTTTAATACTTTATGCAAGTTCTTAGTACGTTGCCACCAATAACTGAAACTTGAGAGAATTCGTATAAATTAGTACTCAGAGCAAGTTGGCATACGTAATAGTTGTATATTAATGTCCTTGATCTTATCTGATTTTTGTAAACAATATTGGTCTGCATCTACTTTTGTCTGATTTTGATGTGAATATTTGGATATAACAGGGCTAATAAGTCACCGTCATTAGAAATTAGGTCTGAAATTTCACCAATAATGTTAGCTAATAAGTCCAATTTAATACTAATTATGATCTTATCCACCATGACATTACCTATATGAGTAAATACAGATACATCTGCTAACTGCAGTCACTGTTCTGTTCTGTTCTGTTCTGGTTTATTCTGTTTTCTTAACTATGGTTATGTGTTTGTTGACCCAGCAGGGTTTCATTGTATTGTGAAATTTCCAATAGCAATGATTGAGCCAGTTTGGTAATCGTATTGGATACGTATGTTGGTTAGATACGGTGGTATATCAGGTACAAAACTAAAACTATAGGCATGCAATGAAATACGTATAGAATTCAACACAAATCGAAAATGGGTACGTGAAGATCAGAAATAAAGAAAGTTTGTAATAATTTCTCAACTTAAGAAGAAAATGAAAGAAGCAAAAGATGAAATTGGCAAGCATCCACCTCATCCTAAGAAATCTGCTTCCAATCTTAATCATTGTTACATAACTTTCAGAGGCAGCAATGCTAGAACAAGAAAAGGCAACAGAATAAAAAGAATAAAAGAATAATATTATAATGTGCAAATTGAATATACAAAATCTACTTAAAGGCTGCTTCCATTAGAAAAGCCCCGAATCAAAAATCTGGTAGTTTATAGTATGTACACGTACATGAATTACATAATCACATACGACCAAAACCATACCCACAAATATGTCACATATGAAGCAAACCGAAACGCGTGGAAATGGTGATCAATTAACCACAACCACAGTAGCGTTACCGTTCATCAAAGAAAACCTAGTAGGCTTTGGTTGGAAACTCTTCCTCCTACGAAAGTCATGGCTAGAGGGGGGCCTAATCATTTGCAAGAGAATTGCCTTCAATGAGCTGGCTTTGGCAGGCACAGATGGGTCCCAACGGTTAGAGGTCCGGGGCAAGGATCGAGCCACGGCTCGTGGTGGCTTCTTGTGCTTGCTGCAGCGGAAGGCCCCAGGGTGCGTGCTGGGTGAGCACAGGCACGTGCGTGATGAGGGTTGGTTCGGGTGGGAATGCTGAGACCTTGCTGTCGAAACACTTCTTGATGCCATTGAAACGAAGGATAGAGAATGGAAAGAATGAATGAATGAATGGAATGGTTTCAAGGGCAACGGAAGGGTTGTTTAATAGAGTGGGTGCTGTTGTTAGAATTGGGGAAGAGATTTATGACCTTGTGTTTCAGTGGAAATAATTTGCTTTCTTCACCAGTTTTGTAGGACATCCATTCTCATTCTCGGTCGTTCTTTCACCCTTTTCTTGATTCCAGAAAAAAATAACTCTTTCTCCAAGGACAAATCGGTCTTTCTATCAAAGTGTGTGGTCCAAGGTTTTAAAGTATGGTCAACGTGTGAAAGGATGTAGTGATTCACACTCCTTCCAAAACCTTAAACTCGTTCGATAGAATGTCTAAAAGGGTTCGTATGGTTCATTCTCTGAGATCAACTTTCATCCGTTTAAATAGAACAAAACCAGAAGATTAAGGATCGGTCGTAGGTAGTTTGAAAATTACAACCTTGTGAAATATTATAACAACCTATGTAGATAAGAATATATCACGAATAAATCTTTGTCTCCTTTCCTCAATCATTCTGTAATAATTTGTTATTTAACAAACCTTAAGAGATTTGATTTTAGGTTTAGTTCATTTTGTCCAATACTAACAAGGTGTAATGTTGACCCAACTAATCTCATTTCTCTCTAATCTACTTTTTATTTTTAACGGCTTTGGATTCTGAAAGTTTTAATTTGACCTCTCATGATTTCTCTCGTATTTTTATTAAATAAATATTTTAAGAAGGTTTTGTGAATTTATTTCACATTTTAAAATTTGATTGAAATGAGAAATTATTTTGAACAGCTAGCTTCTCATATAAATTAGATATTTTATTTGAAGGTGATTTTCATAATCTTATGTTATTTTTGGAAGGAGAAATTAGTCTTTGCACTAGAGCGTGTTATATTCTTTTGTTTTGTTGAACAAGTCATTCACTGAATTTAACCACACCATGACTTGAAGCGATGGTGGATGATCCAATCATTCATTAGGTATCCTCAGTCAATATGGAGGACTTTTTGGTCAAATCAAGTGGACTAACCTTCTTTGACTTTTTTTCATAAATAATACTGTTTTCAAAAATATTTACCAAAATAGCAACTCTGCAACTTTATTTACATAACTAACTCTGTTTACTGTTCACGTAATAAAATAATATTATTTTGCGTAACGGTTTACTGTTCACGTATTAAAATAATATTATTTCGCGTACTGAACTCTCGCTCAAGCGAAGAAAACCTTCGCTTGAGCGAGGAAATCTGTAATGAAGGGGTTATCTGGGGTAAATTATCGCTCAAGCGAAGAAACACTCGCTTGAGCGAAAAGTATGATCGATTATTATCCAATTATAGTCGATCACTTTGACATATATGACTTTAGATAGCGGTTATTTGGTCAACCGCTATCTAAACTACTACATTAGAAAGCGGTTAAAGCGTAACCGCTATCTCATATATATTTTTAAAAGCGGTTGTTATCAACCGCTATCTAAGGTGACTCAAGCGAAAAACACATCGCTTGAGCGAGGACACCTGGAAAAATGGGGGATTCTCGGGTTCTGTCTCGCTCAAGCGACATTATGAACGCTTGAGCGACAAGTGATTCTAATATGTGGTGAACCAAGTTATATTATTTGGCTAACTGCGTTTGGCGTTTCATGATTCGGTCATTACTCGCTCAAGCGACAAAGTCACCGCTTGAGCGATGAAGCCTTCAAACAAGGGGGACTCTCGGGTTCTTTTTCGCTCGAGCAAGAAACCATCGCTTGAGCGAGCAAACCTGCAATTATTTACAATGCTGAGTCACCCACCGAAGTCAGGATTCCCATGTCTTTCTGATGCACACAAGTAAAGAATCCAATGCTGAGTTACCCACCTAAGTTAGGATTCCAATCTTGGATTCCTTGCATTGGGTTAGACAAAAAAGCAGAAACCATGTGAGGGAGCATTGGATTCCAATCTTAGACAAAATCTTGGATTCCAATCTTGGATTCCCTGCATTGGGTTAGACAAAAAAGCAGAAACCATGTGAGGGAGCATTGGATTGAAACCAATGAACTTCATTATAAATAGACTACTTTCATTCTTTGAAGTTCTCACATTGCACACTCCTAAATCTCTGAAGCTATTTGCATTATTTCTTCTTCTTACCTTTAGTCTTCTTTGTGTTCCACACTCCTCAAATGGGTGTAGTGTCTACTATTGTCCACTATGATGGTTTCATGAACCCATGTCCCATGGAGGGAGTTACCTTCAATACTGGGACTGCAAAACTTGTTCCTTTAAAGAGAGGAATTTCTCTACAAAGACTGCAACTCTGCAGCAGTCAAAAGGTCACCCAAATAATTGAGCTGAAGATTTAGTGTGTCTTAACAGAAAGTTTAGGTAAAACCATTTTACCTTTTCTGCTGCATAAAGTTTCTTCATCATTTTGCAAAATGCCTCAAAAATAGTTTTAAACAAATAAAAAACAAAAGCATTTTGACAAAGAACTTTCTTAATAATGTTTTTAACTGATATAGTTTTAAAAGAAACGATTAAAATCACTTAGAATGTTTAAAGAAGTGTTTTTACAGTATTTTAATCGATACAAACTTCTTTTAATCGATTAAAACCACTTTGGAAGTCAGGATGATCGATCAGAATGAAATTATGACCGATTAGAGTTGGTTATGATCGATCAGAATTGAATTATGACCGATCAGACCTATTTCAATCGATTAAAACGAATTTCAATCGATTAAAATGACTTGAAAATTTTTGTACAGAGTTTCAATCGATTAAAACGCGTTTCAACCGATTAAAACAACTTAGAAAAATTCTGTGCAGGTTTTTAATCGATTAAAACTTCTTTGTATCAGTTAAAATAACTTGAAAAGTTTTATAAGAAAGTTTTAAAGCAAATCAATCGATTAAAACGCGAATCAATCGATTGAATCACTCAGAAAATGTTTGTAAATGTTTTAACTGATATAAACATGGTTGTATCAACTAAAAATATTCTGTTAAAGAAACAAGAACGCATTAATGGGTTGAAAGGACTTTTAACAGATGATAACGGCTATTTCAACAGATTAAAACAAACTTTCAACAGATTAATTAATGCAGCAGATTTGAAAATTATCTTTAAAAACAGTTTTGCTTGTCCAATGGTAATCTTGAAAATGTCAATCGAGGGATTGCTAAGAAGCGGAGGAGAGCTCCAGTGGCTTTTTCTCAATCTAATAAAAGTGCCATCAAATTTGACGTCCCAAAATACGAGAGCAACCTCCAAATTAAGAAATGGGTCCAGAGCCTTCAAGATCAAGGGCGAAAGAAAGCTCGAATATTGAGGAAGGTCGGATTGTAACAGAAAAATGGGAGTCATCCACGGAGGAGGCTTCTATATCCGGGAGAGATGCTTCGAAGGTCCAACGAGTGGTCGACGAGTGTGAAGAAGAGAATGTCACAAAATGAAGGTAGTTCTGACCAATGCATTGGTGGATATAACGAGAATCCCCCATTTTTCCAGGTGTCCTCGCTCAAGCGATGTGTTTTTCGCTTGAGTCACCTTAGATAGCGGTTGATAACAACCGCTTTTAAAAATATATATGAGATAGCGGTTAGGCTTTAACCGCTTTCTAATGTAGTAGTTTAGATAGCGGTTGGCCAAATAACCGCTATCTAAAGTCATATATGTCAAAGTGATCGACTATAATTGGATAATAATCGATCATACTTTTCGCTCAAGCGAGAGTTTATTCGCTTGAGCGAGAATTTACCCCAGATAACCCCTTCGTTACAGATTTTCTCGCTCAAGCGAAGGTTTTCTTCGCTTGAGCGAGAGTTCGATACGCGAAATAATATTATTTTAATATGTGAACGATGAAATGATTATGCGAAATAATATTATTTTATTACGTGAACGATGAACATGTCTTAGTTGTGTAAATAAAGTTACAGAGGTGCTATTTTGGTAAATATTTTTGAAAACATTATTATTTATGAAAAAAAAGTCACCTTCTTTCTTGCAGGCTTTGTTTTTAAGGGTCTGCATCATATCACACACACAAGGCTTGTGCTACTTTATTTCTTTTATCTTTATTTTAGGTTTAGGGTCAAATCTGTTATTGGACCAAGCCCATACATCACTAGAAAGAATATATGCTTATAAACAAACGGGTTATCTGACCCAAAAGAATTAAATCTCACACTGATAATAAATAAATAGTATAATAAATATTTTTAAATTTTTTTTAAATGTATAACACTTTATTTTAGTTCTTCAAACTAAAACAATTTTAAATATAATTTCTCATCAACTATCTTATAAATAAATTTTAAGTTATGTATATATTTTAATATAAAAACATTACTTTGAATTACTAAAAGTTAGTTTTCTAAAAAATGGTCAATTCAACTTACGCATATTTATTTACTCTGTGAACAAGCGTCTAAATTTAAATTATATGATAATTTTTATAATTCAAACTAATTATATTTATGAAATATTCAAATTTATTACTTATAGAATAGAAACTACGATTTTCTTTTCTAAAACAATATTAAAACATCTTTAATTATTCAGATAAAATTTTCTTCTTTATTAATCCAAATATACTTATTTATTGTGCAAGTGAGAATTTAGTTCCAGGGTCGAATGAAAATTCATAGGACACCATAATAACAGTTAGAATTCAAACTAAAATTTCAGCTGCGTTTTTATTTATTTTTGTATGTTTTTTTACTCAGAATTATATATATATATATATATATATATATATATATATATAAATTAAATATTATTATATTTATATGTGATAATAATTTAATTATTATAAATTTATATATTTTAAATATTTATATATTTATATTTTTGATATATATATATATATATATATATACATATTAAAAATATATTTAGATAATTATATATAATTACATATCTTTCAAGAGCAATTATTCGAGTATTCCAATGGTCATAGATTAGTAGGGATGCAATGATTTTTATTTTTTTAAAAGGGCATTTAGCTTGATTGGTGGGAGAGGGTTGTTTTGTTAAATCTTAATTATATCCTAAATTCCTAATTAAATTCTAAGGGTAGGCCAATTTATTGGGGTTTAAACTTTGTTTTCTTTTTTTAATAAAAAATCATTATGCTACATTATCTATCTAAGGGCACATTGCATAGAAAATGACACTCCTATTGAACATATATATATAATTAATTCGTCAATTCATATAGTTTATATAAGTATTTGATTATTGAAGGTTAGTAAGATCATATATTTATTTATTCTATATATTTTTGTTATCGCATCGTTATTTTTATTTATTGGAATATTTAAATAAAGTAACGAGTGATGGGATAAATTGTGGTTCGAATCCCGGTATTAAGATAAACTAAAGGAATATCAGGTAGTATTAATAAGTTGTTTGAAAATTTTTATCAGTTTCATCAACGAACATATAAAATATAATGTAACCATTGATATTGTAACTATAACGTTTTAAAATGAAAAAATATCAGTTACAGGGATTATTAACTTGTTTATAATATTTGGCCAAATAATAAATTTATAGTAAATATTTTTTCCATCATAAAGTTTTCTCTTTTTTGAACAAAAACTGTTTCACCTCATTTTATTAATTATTAAACTATAAATACAGATAGGAGTATGATGAAAATTTGAGAGTCTTGCATGAAGTATGAATGAATTAAAAGTACAAGCATATCTATATAATTTTTTCCGTAAACATTTTTAGAATATAAAAATAACACAAAAACATATAAGTTAAAATTATTTTGCACATAAATTAAAAATAAAAATTTATATAAGAAGTTCCTACATAAATAAATAGACTGTACATTTTAGTACTTTTGTTCTTCTAATTTTTCATAAATGCATATAAAAAACTTACCGTGTGCATTTTTCTTTCACACCTTTACCTTCAAACAATAAGTAGTTAGTTTCGGTCGTCTAAGAACCACCATAATAATTATCGGTTATACCGTGATATATTGTTTTTTTCTTATAATAAAAAAATGTCTTTCACAATTGAATTATAAGTTGAAAATATCTTTCAAACTCAGATATAAACAAAAAAACAATAATAATTTCATTACAATGATAAAGTTAAAAGTACAATTTAGATTGTAACTCTAAAAAGATAAAAAAAATGAAATTATTTTTTTACAAGTTGGAAATACTGTATAGTTAAACTAAATTTCTTAATTTTTTTATTTTTAACTTGTGTATAAAATTAATATTTTTTATTCTTTATGACTCTCTCTTAAAAGAGTTTGTAACAAATTTGTAAAATAAATTAATTATATATATGATTTTTTTTTAAATTATCTTTCTTTAAAATTAATATCGCGAAAACAGAAATTATCCTTAAAAAGTCTCAATTAAATAAACAAATTAACTTAATTATTTTAAAAACTGCCATGTATAATTTTTATTTATACATGAGTCTGTAAAGAGTATTCTGTTATACAAGATTAGGTCAGAAGAATTAATTTTTATTCTCTAAAACTTAGCGACTGCTGTGTCTGACTAATGAGCACCATTGCCGTGAAGATAGAGGCACTGTTCTCTGACAAAGACGACCGAAGATACCAAGGAGACAATAACCGCTGCAGAAACCACAACTGATGCCACACAAACCCGTATAATGTATCTTCGCAAAGGTGGACAATAAGTGCTGCTAATTTCATTGAACGTTTTCCGAACAAAACTGCAATCAACTAAATCAGCAAAAAATGGCCCATACTCAAATAAACCACGCGTCACATTCACTGCATCCCCCAGTTTCGTGTATATGGTCGGCGTCAAACGACCTGCACTCGTACATTGTTCAGCCAACGAAACCTCGCACCTATAATTTCTCCAAACCTGAAAATTCCAAATGTTAGTTAGCTACTCACTTACGCATAAATGAATGTATGTTTTGGAATGGTTCATACCTGGGCGGCGTTTTCGAATGTGACTTCCCCTGAGGCGCAGTGGCGAGGTGTTAGGTCTGAGTTCAATGGATTGCAGAGAAGAGGGACGAAGGGACCTGATTGATTGTAGTTAGCTGGGGTATATGCGTTTGTGAAGTTGGAAATAACTTGGTCAAATAATTCAACAATGGTATATGTGAGGATCCTGCTTCTTAAATATGTTTCCAACACAGTTGCTTTCTCCACGCACGGAAGAATTTCATCCACTGCAGTGTGGGTAGTGGGGTTCACAACCCACTCATCCATCGCAACACATGTATCACCAGTCACACTGGTACAAAAAACATGCATGCGTTCATGTCAGTTTTCCTTTTAAAGGAATATAATCTTTAACTCACTCTATTGCATACATACCTTTTGGTTGGTTGAAATCTATTAAATTAAAAATCACAAAATTTGATACATAGGTCTCACAAGCTTTATATATATATATATATACTGATTTTCACGGAGATTCACTTACTTATAAACAAAAAGAAATGCAGCACAGAGTAACAAGGTGCCAGTGACAAGAATCCATCCAATAACTACCAAGCTGCAACAGGAGAAAACGTTGTTTTAACCAGAGACAAATCCATCAATAACTTAAACATTCAGAAGAAAAAGCAATGGATTCAACTTACAAGTACACTGGACACTGCCACCCACGTAAAGAAAAAACTGCATATACACAAGAAACAAATGATATCTTATATAGTCTGATAAAACACTTGGCATAGAGTAGAGAACGAAAAAGGCAACTCAAACATACTGAGTCGGAGAAATGCAACAAAGAACAAAACAGCAGCAACAATAATGAGAGCCAGTCTTCTGCAGATGATAAGAACAAATATTGTTAATTAGCAAAATAAAAATTTCAAAAAAACAGATAAAAATCTTAATGGGTGTACTTACACTCCATCTATGACTTTGTGTATGATCTTGGAGTTAGCTTTAACCGTGTTGGAGAGATAATCAGCAGCAACGAGGACTTTGATTTTGATGTCATCAATGTCGGGTCCAAAATCAATGTGTAGGGAGAAAGGAACCCCATGCACAATATGCTTAGCTGAATCAAAATAAGTTGACATGATAGTCAGGTTTTCAGCTACAGATTGAGCCTGACTCACAACGTAATCAAGTGTGTTCGAAGTGCTTCCACCAATCTTCGACTGACCAGAGTACAACTGAGTGCATCCAGCTCTAACGTAATAAATGAAATATGGTTAATTAGAGACACATAAAGACTTATATAATTGTTCTAAGAGAGTATTAATTGAAATTGATTTAAAAGTATAAAATTAGAAAGATACATTGTGAGAACAGTGCTGAGGATAAGCATGACCAATGAAAAATGATGGAGTAATTTGGAATAGTCACTTGGCTCTCCTCCCTTACAACAGCAGTAACACGCACAGCTGACGAGTATAAGATCTCCAAAAATCACGAACCAGGCTAAAGCCACAGCGAATAAAGGAACCGCAGTGGACATAACGGACTGCACCACAATTCAATTACGAAAATAAGACTACTTCTTTCATTTAATTAATTCACACTGTGTTTATTTAAAATCTTCCAAGACAGATCAATCTTTTGTCAAAATTAAATTCTTGGTTTCAACGTATAAATATATAAAAAACAGAAGAATAATTATTTAATTAAAATAAAGGAGTTTCGACGCGTCATTGGTCAGAGAAGCGTACAAACACGTGGCAAAAGCGCGTAGCGCTTAATTAAAATGCAGTGCAAGAAGAAGTGAAAAACCGTTATATAATAGGCGCTGCTGATATTCCAACCACCGGTGTAACGGCGAAAACCGTTAAACCAGTCTTTCCGGCGAGTTCTCTCTTCAGCAAGCACCAGCGTTCCATTCTTGCTGCTTGCAACTTCCGCCGTTGATCTCCTCGCCGTCCATGGAACTACCCCCTCTTCCTCGTACAGTTCCTCGCCAAAAACTTCAACGCCATCTGAAAAGAATAAGAATCTTGAATTAACGTAATGAAAATAACCGCAGAATAAGATTTAAAGAAAGAAGAAGAAGAAGAACCTGAAGGTGTTGGAGCAGAAGTGGAAAAGAGAAAGAGAGAGAGGAAGAAGAAGAGAAAGAAGAAGGAGTGGTCGGAGTTTGATGTGAAGCGGAGCATGATTGTTAAGAGGTTAATGTCATGGTTATGGCGTGCATGCGCGTGGCTTCTTCTACTGAGAAGAAATGCTAGCTGCTCAGACTTTAAAGCCTCTGCTTGTCTTCTCATCAACGTGATATCAAGATCAAAATACCATTACATTTTTTTCTCTTTTTCTTTTTTTTTTAAATCTATTTATTATTTCTTTTCTCTATTTTGTTTATGTTATCAATAGTAGTCTATATTTTAAATTAATCAAATTTAAACAGTTTGCTACTATTTCAAATGTACTTTATTTTTAACTGTCCGATAATTATTTGTTAATTTAAATAATCAATACACAATCATTATTATTTATGGATTGTTTGAGTTGTTAAATCATTTTTTTTAATTTAAGTATCATTTTCAATAAATATAACTTAGGATAATTAAATACAATTATTTTTTATTATAAAAAAAATAAATATATTAAATGAACTACTTCTTTTATTTTTATGTCTATTTAAAATATTGTTGCGCATAATTAATTGATTAATATAATAATTGTTTATTTATGATAAAATAGTTGTACAATTTCTTATATTATCACTTCCTTTCTCTTATGGTAAATATATTAAGGAAATAAAGTCAGATTATTTCGATTTGTCGAAAAAAAAGGTTTATAAATTAAATGTAGTATATTTTAATTTGATTTATTTAAGTAATAACTTAAATGATTAAAAATAATTTTTTTAATATTTATTTATTTTAACTTTTAATAGATGAATTATTATTTTAAATTATTAAACTATTAAAATAACAATAATAATAATAATAATAATAATAATAATAATAGTAAAGAGTAAATTTTTATCAAATGAATTTGATTATTGTTACTTGTAATTTATATATAAATTATTAAATAAAAAATAAAAAATATTTGTATTAATAGTTTAAATTCTACAAAAATATTTTTTATTTTTATGTAAATATTTTTGATGATTTTTTTATATAAACTTATTAATATTTTTTTATTTTTTAATTAGATCAAAATTATAATTCGTTAATTTATATTTAAACTATATTTTAAAATATAAATTAAATTAATAAATTGATATTTTTATTTTATTTTATTCATAAGATCAATTCAGACTAAGTCAAATAATATATTTTAAAAATTCTAACAAATATATATAAATTATTAAAAATTAAAAAATACATAAACACTACAAGAAAAAGCGGTATTAGCGACTGAAAAAATCGATCGCTAATGGCCTAAAATCGATCGCTAATCTGTTAGCGACCAAATTAGCGACCGAAATGGTTGGTCACAAAAGGGCAAGTCGCTAATGTGTTAGCGACCGATTTACATTTACTGGTCACTAAAGTGGTCGCTAAATAATTTGGTCACTTATTCATTGAAGACCAAAATAGCGACCGAAATTAATATAATAAATCGGTCGCTAAATCGGTCAGCTAAATCCGTGGTATTGTTTTAAAAAATAGCGACTGATATATTCGATCGCTAATATATTAATATAATTATTTAAATAATAATTAAAATCAGTCGCTAAATCGGTCGCTAAATGGGAGACAAAGTTAAAAATAATAGCGACGGATATAATCGGTCACTAATATATTAATTGAATTGTTTAAATAATAATTTAAATCGGTCACTAAATCGATCGTTAAATTTGAATTGTATATTATAATAAATTTGTAGCGACCAAAAATTCGATCACTAAATCGATCGCTAAATTAATAATAAAGTTAATTATTTTTATTTATTTACATTTTTAATTATATCAAGTTCATTAGACAACTTTTTTTCTCCAATTGGACACAATTGTGTTACATAATGAATGCTTAGTAGTTAGTAGTTAAGATGCATTCTCATCCATGAAATGTGGACCAATTTGTCATAAACTTAAGATTTGAGAAACATTTGCAAATTGAAACTGTCAACTAACAAGTGATGAGAAAAGATTTCTCATTGCCAAGTACTACTAAATGAAACTGTTACACTTAAACACTGTTACACACATAATTGCCTTTTTTTTATATGGTAACTCTAGCACAATCTTAAGAGGGTGTCAATATTGTTTTCTGTGGACTTAAGACTATATTTCAATTGTAGAAAATGCATATATACCAAGAAAGGGTGAGACACAATAAAGGTGAACAAAAAAAAAATAGTATCATAGTAGTGATACATTTCCCTTCATAAAACTGATTTGTTACGTCACTTCTTTTGTGGTGTTGAATGTGCCTGTGCTTTGATCCCATATGTCTTCAATTGAAAATTTTCAAAAGCCTCTGAAATTGTCTACACCTATAGGATTGCACAAAGCAATATATTAGTGAATCCAACCTGAATGGGTAAAGGAAAGAAGTTTAAACATGCACAAGATAACTAACCAGTTCAGCCTTTTTGGAGTACACCTTAACTATCATATCTTGGTAAGATATATGTAGCAAGTGGCTTACACGATCATCGGGTATTGTAAATTTCTCATTGCTTTCATAATCCTGAATGCATTATTGAAACTAGGTAACTCAATACAGCTAGCATAATTTAATTCCAAACTAAGCACCAATAATGGGCTAAACTAAACCACTTTAAATATTTCAATAATTTTGAACAATTGCAGCCCAGTATCCCAACAGAAGTAATATAAAACAATTTAAACTAAAACTTATTAGCAAGGAAACTGTCAAACTGCATAAGGTAAGATGTTTAATAGTGCAAAAAAAAGATATAATCCACTAATACAATATAGACACAGGCAAAACCAATTAATATATAAGAAGATTAAAGAAATATCTTGATGAAAGATAGTTAGGTAGGTTTGGCGATGTACCTTGAAAAAGTGGATGCTTGCCACGAAACATGCACCATAAGAGAGAAAAATAATGCATTAGGATAACATTATAGTAAGTTAAAACAAACTAAATGTCTATGTTCAGCAAGCGTGATTATTCTTCATTGAATACCTTTCAAGAGGATTATGATTTCCAGTAGTCAAATCAATTTTGACGTTACAAACAACTACATCCTCCTCTTTCAGAGTAACTCCACCACTCTTCTGCCAGATACATATATAAAACAAAATGGAATTAGAAACTGTAAAAACCAAGAATGGTAAGTTCATGGGTATTAAGTAGACAGGTAAGGAAAAAAAAGGCAGGTATCTACATCTACCTAAAATTCAATAATCTTCTTAACAAAATGAACATACTTCATACCTTCACTTTTAGATGTGTATAAACTATTCTATATAGATAAGAACGAGTGACAAACATTTTGTGGATGGTAAGGTCTAGTAAATTACGCAGCCAACATGAAAACTACATATTCAGGAAAAAAAACTAAACGGAAATAACAGTATAAGACCCAGAATCAAACAGGAACCCCATTCAACCAATAGAGGTAGTCAGTTTGACAATTCATACGAAAATAAACCAGACCCACACACAATTCATCCTTAACCAAGGAGAACAATCCACAGTAAAAAGGCATAAAAGAAATAGAACATAGTAGCAAAATGTGAACCGAAGCCCTTGACCCGCGACCCCTCTGACTCACCTCTAGTTCGCGGGGAACTCAATGGCACGATTGGGGCAACTGAGGCATGGAAAGACCTCGATGGTGGAGGTTAGGTTGAGATTTAGGGATGGCCACAATGGTGGCCAGGGAGGCGGTGGTGATGACTGGGGTTTGGGGGTCCAAACAACAGGTGTTGGGGTGCAGTGCTCACGAGAAGCGCAGGGATTCGCGATTGACGAGGAGCTTTGGTGGAGGTTGGATTAGGGTGAGGGCTGACTTGGGGGGAGCAGTGAGGGGGCTAGGGCTCGCCGGGAGTGAGGAGGAGATACTGGCCAAGGTTAAGAGGAATGGGTGAGTGAGGCGCGAGAGGTAGGGTTATTTGGGGATAAGTGGCGCGAGATAGGAAAGTAAAAAATGTGGTTGTATATGATAGCGGTTAAATCTTAACCGCTATTATAATAGCACTTCTAATAACGGTTAAATCTTAACCGCTATTATATATTTTCAAATATGATCGATCATTTAAAAATATAATCGATCATAACCAAAAAATGTGGATGTCGCTCGAGCGAGATCGTGTCGCTCAAGCGAAAAACAACCCGAGAATGCCAATTTTGTGCAGGTGGCGTCGCTCGAGCGATACTACTGTCGCTCAAGCGAAATACAACCCGAGAATGCCAATATTGTGCAGGTCGCGTCGCTCGAGCGATGCTATTTTCGTTTGAGCGAATGTTGACCTGCGTAAACGTCGATCAAAGTTAGCCGGATAATGTAACATGGGAGACCTCACATGTTTGAATCGGATGTCGCTCGAGCAAGTATAGTGTCGCTCAGGCGAAATACAACCCGAGACTTCACAATCTTAAAATATGGTTGTATATGATAACGGTTAAAGCTTAACCGCTATCTAACATACACTTTAGATAGCGATTAAAGTGGAACCGCTATTATAGCCTCTCAATTATGATCGATCATTTCAAATTATGATCGATCATAATGACAACTTACATTAACTATTTTTTTGAATATTATGTTTTAAAATTTGCTATTAGAGAAAACCTTTCAGAATTCAAAATGTTAAATATTTTTAAATATTAAAATTAACTTTATCAAAAATTAGGAAAAAAAAATAATTCAAAAGAGTTCAAAAATATATTATAATATTCTCAATTTTGAGTTTTATTATATTGTTCATTCTCAAAGTAGAAAAATTTATTGTAATTATTTTAATTTAATAAAATATAATTTCAATTTTTAATACTAAAATTAAAAGATTAAATAATAATGAATTTAATTCTTTAAATTGAGTATTTAGAAACTAAAATTATAGTTTCTCTGTTTTAAATAATTAAAATAAATAGTTAAAAATAAAAATCAAAACTAGTATTATCTTCAATTTATTAAAAGTGTAATTATATCTCTATTTTCTTAATTTTTTTTGTTTCAAACTTCTCAATTATACATTTTTTGAACTTCTATCATTATATTATCATCCTCATCTCCTCCCATGTTCAACTTTATCTTCACAATAGTTAATATTCTTAAATAATCTATATTTTTAATTATAATTTTTTAATATATATTTCAAAAATTAATCAATTAT